TCACAATCATATACTGCATACCATTATTTTCTTTATCCCAGCCTAACCCATAGAAAGTATAACTTAAAATAATTGTAAAAATTTAAATATAGTCCTGGCTGGTTCACTCAATGGTTAGAGTATGGGCCTGTGGACCAAAGGTTGCAGGTTCAATTCCCAGTCAAGGGCACATTCCTTGGCTGCAGGTTCCCTAGCCCCAGTATGGCATGGGCAGGAGACAACCAATGTGTCCCTCTCAGATTGATCTTTCTCTCTCTCTCTTCCCCACTCCTCTTTCCCTTCTACACTCTCCAGAAATCAATGGGAAACATATCCTCCCCTGCAGTGAGAATTATATATATATGTGTGTGTGTGTATATATATATTTTAATATATATGTGTGTGTGTATATATATATATATATATAAATAAAACACTAGATGAAAAATATGAAATACTCTCTTTGATAATACATATATCATCCACATGCATGCTGCATATAATGAGGGAAATATATATATTTATATAGAAGGTATTAGATTAATGATAAAATGCACAGTTGCCAAATGTAATATTAATTACATAAGGTTCCTTTGAATATAGATGATAATTATTTTTATGTACATTAGTCAATGGCAATCCAACTACTTTGATTTTATTGTCATATATATGTATTAGAAAAAAAATGTAGAGAGCTTAAAAGGGTTTGAGGAACATTATCCATAAATTAAAGTTAATTTAACAATAAGTTTAATTACTACTTTCCCAACATTTTATTCCTTTAGAAATTAAATGTTCCTTTGTTCTAGCATTTAAATTGGTTCTTTTATTGTTTTTAGTTTTTTCTCAGTGTAAAATTTATTCTCAAAATTTATACCAAATATTTTGTCACCCCTGAAAATATTTCAATTTGCAGGCATCTGAAAAGTACAAATAGATATTTTCAAAAAAATTAGAAGCTTATTTGTGGTCTGCTTTATTTTCCTTAATTTGGAGTTATGTGACTTTGGAAACAATCTATTGAGTTCTTGAAATTAAGTAGCCAGTTTTTGGCATTTCAAACAAGGACTGAACTATTTTCACTCTGTCCCTTGACCTACTGAAAAATAATGAAGAGAAAGCATAAGAAGAAGGAAGGAGGAAGGAAAGGGGGAGATAAAAAAGAAAGAAAGAAAGAAGAAAGAAAGAAAGAAAGAAAGAAAGAAAGAAAGAAAGAAAGAAAGAAAGAAAGAAAGAAAGAAAGAAAGGAAGAAAGGAAGGAAGGAAGGAAGGAAGGAAGGAAGGAAGGAAGGAAGGAAGGAAGGAAGGAAGGAAGGAAGGAAGGAAGGAAGGAAGGAAGGAAGGGAGGGGAAGTAAGAATGTTAAATTATGGAAATAAAACTACATTTATTTAATTTGAATAATTTGTTAACAATATAACTTAATAACAAGACTAGACCTAATGATATAGAGCAAGAAACTGGTATATTAGATTAAGGTCTTAAATTCTAACTTTTCTGCATTACATGTAGTTGTTTTCATTATCCCATAGTTTGATTTTCCTAATTGATATTGAAGGAACAGTTGTGGGACTGACTTGGATATTCAGGACATTTACCAAAATTTTCCACCTCACATATTTAAAGAGCATCAGCTTTTGCCTAAAAAAAAAAGATGTGTTCCAAGTATGATATTTATGCTAAAGTTGATTAACTCATAACTTCAATCAAGTTTGGCTGTAAGTGATTTTGACTATTAGCATACAAATTATCCACATTTACACAGAATATATTTATTTTCTCAGAAATAATTTAAGTATTTACACTATAATCATTCATAGATTAAAATAAGATTTTATGATATCTACCTAGAAATATATCTGTAGGATATTACACAACATATAAAATAGAACAAGCACAAAAAATAAGCTTAGTTTGCATCCAAATTTTAATTGATGCCTGAAACATTACATATGTAATGTTCTCCAAAATTCTATGAAGAGAGTGTATGCAGGGACCATTACTCCAATCATATACCACTGATATGCCCAATTTATCCAGTGAACATTCTTGAGAAACAAAATTCAAATATTCAAAACCACACAACTTATGTTCTATTGTATATGCTACTGTATGGGCAGGAAAACATGTAAAGAGAAAAAAATAATTCATTTTTAATTTTATCCAAGTTTCATGATGGTACATTTAAAATTTTTTTCAAGTATATTAGAGAAATTATGTTTACTTTATCTTCTGAATACATTTGGTAGATATAATCTAGAAGTTAGAAGTAACCTCTTTTCATAAATCATATAATTATTTCTGAGATGTAAAATAATGTTGGGCACCTTAGGAGTACTAGAGGTATAAACAAACCAACTCAAAAGAGGGTATGTGACAAGATTATGTACTACAGTGTTAGTTTGAAATATTATTTTGTAAATCTTTGAGATGCATCACAAAATTTTTTGGAAGTTACTTCTTTAAATTTCATGTAATTCTTATTTCCTATTTTATGCATTAATTAAGAAAAAAACGCTTAGTTACATGGAGGTTTCCACTTTGCATTTTATAATTTATACAACCCCACCATATCTACATATACTAATACTGAAGCGGTGATTTTAAAAGAAAAATAACTCCCATAATGAAGATACATTAATTACAGCCTCAACTGCGAAAGCAAATGCTGCTACTTATATTTCTTTTTTTAATCCCGAATTTAATGTGGAGGAGGTAGATGAAAAGTAAGATACATTTTTAATTTTTCATGTTATCACATGGCATCATTAATCTTGTCACTTTCCCTTTGAAAAGAATTTGGAAGGGAAAATGCTGCACAGAATGGGGGTAGTTTACTTCAAGTGGCCAATGTAAAATATATAGAAATATATACATTTCCTCAGGAAAACTATTATCACCTGTTCAACTTGAAAGCAAGCAGTTACTGTCAATTTACTCATGGGTGAATGCTGCCTCTTTGTGGCAGAATGCCATGGAAAATGCTGCTTAACCATAGAGTTCATGAACAGTCCTTGACATGGTACACATTTCAGGTGAGATTAGGGGAAGATCCACCAATAGCAAAGAAGCACAAAGCTCTTTAAGTTTCAGGCTAATTCAAACATTTCCCACCCTTAAATATGAATCTCAGTTCAATGGCAAACCTTACTCAGAGGTGGACGGCTTATACCTGTCAACATTATGAACATTTAGGATATGGATAACCTTGAGATAAAGTATCCTTCATAATTACTGATGGTAATTGTATGCAAGTAAAATTATATGAAACTATGGAAACCTATAGACTGAAAAAGTACTATTGACATGTCAAAAATACACAATATTGGAAGAAAAATGAATATGCAATATGTTACTTACCATGCTCCATGTATTAGATGAATACTTCAATAAGGAAAAGAAGTATGCAATTAAAATTTCATTAATAAACACATTAAATGACATATTTAGAAAATCATAATTCTGTGAATCACCATAGGTGTAATAACATCTATATATATATTTTTAATTTGATAATTAGGGGTTTTTTTTGTCTTAAATTGTTAATAATGGAGATTCAGTCACTCACACATACTAATTCTTTTGCACTTTAAGTAATCATTACTTCAATTCCTCATATTTGACATAGTTATCAAGTGTTTATTCAGAAACTATTTAAAAAATTACATGTGCTGGGATACATATAAGACTGTAACAACAATAGCCCCATCTTACAGAGATCCTGTTTGTGGTTATCATCATTGCTTGCTGCCCAGAGGGGTAAAGACATTGTATAGGGATTTGTACAGTCCATCATTTGGTCTTCTGAGGTGCTAGAACACGTGGATCTGTACAAATGCAACGGTGTTTGGTTAAACAATCAAAAATCGGCTACAATAGTAGTCAAATCAATACATCATTTTGGTTGACTAATAAAAAATGCTTTGAAATCTTCTCTAATAAAACCCCAGACTTGCACCTGATTCTCACCCAAATGGCCCAATTAATTGCCCTAATATTTTAATATATATTGGGATACAATCAGTTATTTTTTTTTTTTAAATTACAGATCCAATTGGGTGGGTTTGCACTGGCTTTAAAATTTTGTCATTAAGTTCTCCATATTTTGAGTGGTTTAAAATGCCTTCCTGACATCACTTCAATTTTGGAAATGCAGCTTCCAATATAGTGCGACACCTCTGTGAAAATCATAGGCTAAATAGTGAAGGAAAGAGAAATGCTAAATGTGCATATAAAAATAGGTGCTACAATAAAATATTTGTATATTTCATCAATAAGTTATTTTGACTAATCAATTATGGATCATATAAGCTCTGTGACTTTAATGATTTGTCCACATCTATGGTGATCCTTTCAAGATCACAATACTTTTTGTTTTTTAATTCAAATGTCCAGAATGCATACAAACACATCCTTTTAAAAGAAAGAAAAGGAATGAGAGAGGAGGGAGCCAGGAAGCAGAGAGAGGGAGGGCAAGGAGAGAGAGGAAAAGAGCATGAACTTTTCTATCAAAGTTGGGGTGTGCTAATCTCTCCACAAAAGCCATGTAGACCCACCCTGGGCTTAAAGGGGAAGAGGAGAGGAGGGAGAAGGGAGCAAAAGAGGAAGAATAGAATCTATTCGCTGTCTTCTCCCACCATCCTTACTTAGCACTTCCAACCACCAGAACAATGACTGCCACCCTTAGGAAGCCACCCGTGCATCCAACTGCCCTCCAGCCCCCCCCCCGCTCCTCTCCTCCCCCACACGCAAGAGAAAGGGATGCGCCCTGTGTACACAAACGTTTCCCCCACGTGGTAAAATCAAAAAAAAAAAAAAAAAAAAAGGAAATTGCACACCCTTTTTCAGTGTCTTCCGCCGAAGAAGCTAAGAATCTCTCGTGCCAAGGCACTTCACTCTAAACGTGGAAACCACATAATGAATCAAACACGTTCGCCGTGTGTGGTGTGTCGGCTTTGCTTGTTTTTTAAATGCAAAAAGCTCCCAGGGAGTTTCTCTGCCTTTTTTTTTTTTTTTTTTTTTTTAGAACTGGCTAAAGGTGGTTTGTTTCTCCAGCACTTCGAGGTAGTCCGGCTCAACGTTTAGTTTTGCTTTTAGCTCCAGGTACTCGTTCCGGTTGGGTTCTACAAAGACAGCACTGGGGGGGCTGTACAGCACCGGCTCCCGCAGCCTGCCGTCCCCGGCCGCCCCCGGCCCCGGGTGCAAGTACGCGTGGTGGGGGCGCCTCAGGTCATAGTTGGGGGAGAAGGTGTAGGCGGCGGCGGCGGCGGCGGCGGGGCTGCAGGGGAACTTGGGGTATTCCGGGAGGCTGCTGCCGCCGGCGGGGGCGGGGGCGGCGGGGCAGTGCTTGTCCGGTTCTAAGATGCCCCTGTAAAAGCGCTCGGCGTCCTGCACCGGGGACAGCAGGTCCTCCCGGGGGGGCTCGATGGTGCTGACGCTGTAGGCCGGGCTCCGCACGTGGTGGTGGTGGCTGTCCCGCCGCTCCTCCTCCGCGGGGGGCTGCAGCTGCAGCTGCGGCGGCTGCTGCAAAGGCTGCAAAGGCGGCTGCAGCTGCTGCTGCTGCTGCAAAGGCTGCTGCTGCTGGTGCTGCAGCTGCAGGTGGTGGCTGCCGCCGCCGCCGCCGCCGCCGCCGCCGCCGTAGGTGACCTTGAGCTCGTGCAGGTCTTTGTAATCCTCCACCGAGTTGCCCTCCCGCGAGCGGTAGATGGGGTTCTTGCACATGTGGCCCAGCGGGTGGGGGATGTACTCATACACGTGGCCCGCGGGCGCCTTCCCCTTGGGTAGCGAGGGCCCCCCGCGGGGGTGCAGGGGCGCGTGGGGGAGGCCGCCCGCGCCCCCGCCGCCCCCGGAGCCGCCCCCGCCGCCGCCGTACACGCTGTACTGCATGTTGAAGGAGCTCACGTCGGAGTTGTTGGCGCTCGTGGGGTCGCTCTGGCCCTTCTTGCGGCGCTTCATCACCAGCACGAAGAGCCCGGCGGCCACGAACACGGACATGATGAACACCAGCAGCAGGCTGAGGATCAGCACCGACAGGGGCACGGAGGAGGCGGAGGGGGGCGCGCCCCCGCCCGCGCCCAGGCCCGCGGGGCCCCCGGTGGCGCCGGTGCCATTGAACCGCACGGTGGGGGCGGCTGCCGCCGCCGCCGCCGCGCTGGTCCCCGAGGGGCGGCCCCCCGGGAGGGCGGAGGGCGCGGGGGGCGTGGACACCCCCACGTCCGAGTAGTCCGGGCACAGCAGCTCCGACCTGAGCGAGCGCATGTCGGCCTCGGCGAAGCTCTTGGGCGCCTTGCAGATGACCTCGTCCACCAGGACGCCCGCCTTGAGCTGCTCCACCCACAGCTTGAGGCCCACGGCGTCGCAGGTGCAGTCCCAGGGGTTGTCGTGCAGGTCGATCTGGAGGAGGGACCGCAGCTGGTCCAGCACGCCGCTCACGGGCAGCGAGGTGAAGTGGTTGCTCCGCAGGTTCAGCCGCAGGAGGGTCAGGCTGGCGAAGACGCCCGAGGGCAGGGCCTGCAGGAGGTTGTTGTTGAGGAACAGCAGCTGCAGGTTCGGGACCGGGTCGAACGTGCCCGGCTGGATCTCGCGGATGAGGTTGTACTGGAGGAAGAGATACTGCAGGCTCTGCAGGCCGTAGAAGAGCTCGGGGCTCAGCCGCTCGATGCGGTTGCCGTTCAGGTAGAGGCGCCGCAGGTTGGCGAGGTCCCCGAAGGCGCGGTCCTGGATGGCGGAGATGCGGTTGTTGCCCAGGTGCAGGAGGTCCAGCCCCGTGGCCTCCAGGAAGTCGCTCCGGCGCACCGCCGCGATGTAGTTCTCCGTCAGGTACATCTTCTTGGGGTTGTAGGGCTTGGGCTGCAGCTCGGCGATGCTCTCGATCTTCCGCTCCTGGCAGTTGACGTTGAGGCCCAGGTCTGAGATCTGCAGGTTGCAGTAGCACTGGGTGGGGCACTCCAAAGGCACGGGGGACTTGGTCTGGTAGGCGATGCTGGGGCCGGAGTTGCTGTAGCTCAGGTCTTTGAATGGCTGCCTGGAGGTGGGGCGCACCCTGGGCTTGTTGGGCTGGCGGGTCCCCTTGGGGCTTTTCAGGGGGGGTTTGTAAACAGCGGAGGAGGAGGTGGCCACGGAGTTCACCGAGGCTGGGGTGGTGTGTAGGTACCCCGTGGTGCTCAGAGGCGCCTGGGGCCTCATCTCGTAGTCGGAAATGAGCTTCCTGGGGCAAAGTTCCTGCTTGGACACCTCGTCTAGGTCCCGCCCGTGGAGGCGGAAGGGCGTCTCGCACACCACATCCCCCACCAGGGCGGCGTAGGAGATGCTGTCCAGCCAGTCCTTGAGGGAGATGAGCTCGCAGGAGCAGTTCCAGGGGTTCTCCTCCAGCTGGAGCTCCACCACCTTATCCATGTGCTGCAGCAGCCCCACGTAGGGCAGGAGCTTCAGCCGGTTCCCCCGCAGGTCCAGGTGCGTTAAGGGCACGAAGCGGAAGAGGTTGTTGGGCAAACTGGACAGGAGGTTGTCATTGAGGATGAGCACCTGCAGCAAATGCAGTTTCCCGAAAGCATTGGGCTCGATGACGCTGATGTAATTATAATCGACCTGTAGGTACTCCAGGCTCTCCAAGCCAAGGAATATGTCATCGCGCAGAAGTTCCAGCTTATTGTTGTTCAGATGCAGCCTCCTCAAGCCCCTGAGCCCATGGAAGGCCCCCGTCTCAATGTCCTGGATCACGTTGCTGCCCAGATGCAGAATCGAAGCCCCGGTGTAATTGACAAACTCGTTGGGATAGAGGCGGTTCAGGAGGTTTCCGGACAGCAGGAGGTGGTAGACGGGGAAACGGGGAGGGCTAATCTCAGAGAGGCTGATGATCCCTCTGTTCTCACAGCTCACAGTCAGAATGCCGTCCTTCTCCTCGCAAGGACAGGCATTGTCACAGATCTCCCCATAATAGTCGATGGTCTCTGCACACGAAAGGACGAGAGATGTTAGAGCAAAGGCTAGAGTCTGCAGCATCCAGCTCTGCATCTTTCTGTGAAGGTCCTGCTCCAGAGTTACCAGGGGGCAGCAAGTGTGCATGTTACCTCCTGCAAGGGAGAGAGGAAAAAAGGAAACAACAGAATATGACAAGGATTTAAGGGATCACTCAGAAAGTCTCTTTTTCCCTGATCCTATTTCTCTGAAACCCACTGGGGGAGGGGGGTGGGGGGAGAAGGGAGGGGGCTGTGAAGGACACCTCCTCTCCAACAGGGGCATTTCCAGGCCTGATTAAAATCGGACAGTCATTGTGATTTAAATGTTGGTTTCATTTCCCCAGGAGTACAACCGGAAATGCTGCTCTTGGCAAGACCAGGGCGGGTTAGTTAGTGTCCCAGGTTAGTGTGCTTCCTGGGTCCTCCTCCCTTTTCAGAGCCAACCCATAAGTATACATAAAATGGCTGTCAGTTCAGTTTCCTGGCTCTCATTTAAGAGAGAGAGAGAGAGAGAGAGAGAAAAGCACCATTTCAAAACGTTCCCCATCTCACCTATCCCCAGCCACCCTGCCCTTCCTCCAGATCCTCCTCAGTTCACAAGGCACAGGGAAGGGCTCCCATTTCCACAGAAAAGCAGGCAGGGAGCCGCCGTGGGACGAGGTGGGAGCCTAAAGCATACTTTTTCAGAGTCATAAAGGATGTGAGACAATGCATCAAAAGGACCCCCCCAAAAGAAGCTCTTAAATCTCCAATTGTCTATGGGGAGCTTTCCTGTGGAGAAAAAGGAGAAGCGAGCCGGCTTTGATGGTGGACTCCACGGCCCGACCCCAGCTATTAAGCACATCAGCATCCTAATTGCATGCGCGGTGCCACTTAACGGTGCTTCTCGGAGAGCGCCCCGCATCCACGCCTCATGGATCATGTCAGCGACGGCGGCGCTGCCGAACCGCATCCCTGAGCCACGGAAACAGTTCTGCACCGCGGGCCGCACAGAGCCCTGCGAAGGCATCCGCAATCCCAGAACACCTTCCCCTGCCTGGAGTTTACAGAGGACATGCAGCTGCTGGCCCGGAATCGGCTAAAAGTAAACCAAGTCAAGCCAGCGCTCCCCCCCTCCCCCACCGCCCTTACCTGGGGCTACCCGTCTGATGGCCACGGTATACAAAATCAATCCGACTGAATTAGCAAGATTTGGACCGAACCGCGACAGTGCCAGCATCCCCATTTTTGAAGTTGCTTACTACATTTAATTGTCAGTGCTTTATCCCTGTTCTCTCTCCCCCCCACCCCGCTTGGGGAAAGGGCACTTGGGCTGGTTAAAGACAAAATAGAAAGGAGGGAAGAACAGCAAGTGACACAGGTCAGAGCTGATCTATCCGAGTCTCATCTCCCCAAGCAATCCATCTGATCCCCTCCCCCTTTTCCTTCTGGCTTTCTTTTTTGTCCCCCTCCAAGGCTTCCTTCGACTTCCTCCTACTTCGACTCGACAGCAGTACTCATCAGAGAAAGGACACGCATGGGGCGAGTGTGTGAATGCGTGTGAGTGCGTGTGAGTGCGTGTTGCGCCGGCCGGAGGGAGGGAGGAAGCGTTTGGTGGGAACCCGCGGCTGGGGGAACCGGCGCCTCTCCTTTGGCAACACCACAATCACCACCACCACCACCACCGCCACCACCACCACCACCACCACCGCCACCACCACCACCACCACCGCCGCCGCCACCACCACCACCACCACCGCCGCCACCACCGCCGCCGCCGCCGCCACCACCACCAAAGACGGATGTTCAATCTCAACCCCAAACTGAAAAAAGCCAGGGCGTTTCGGAGCCATGCGCTCCAGAAAGGAGATCTCGGTCTGGATCCCCCCCGCCGGATCCAGCCCCTGTCACTCAGAGCCCCCGCATCCGCACGCACATGTGGCGAGGGCGCCGGGGCGTGGAGAGAGGAATGGGTATCACAGGGGGGAATGGACACTCGCCAGGAGCCTCGACCTCCCAATGCAACTGGCAAACACGTCCGGGGGTGGGGGAAGGCGGGGAGAACCACACAAAACACCACCCGCTTAGGAAAGCAAAATGTTTACCTTGAAATTTCGGTTCTCCGCTGGATCAAATCTGCACTTCCCGGGCTGGGTCCCCTCCCCCTCCCCGCCCTCCCCCTCCCTCCGGCGCCTTCCCGCCCCCCTCCCCCTCCCACCCCTCTGACAGCCCCCGGCGAGCTGCGTCCAGCCGGCATCCCACCCCGGCGCCCACAACTTTGGTTCAGTTCTGGCGAGCCGGGGTCGGAGAGCCCTCCCTTCCTGTCACCCCACCCCCTTCCCCGCCTGCTCCGCCAGCACCGGGGCCCGGCGGCTGGTGAGAATAAAGTTGAATGAGCAGCGGGGAAGGCGGACATTCTGACACGGAAACGCACCTTGGATGTAAATTCGCGGGCGCGCGGCACATTTCTCAGAGGATCAGATTGATCAGATTGATTTTTTTTTTTTTTTTTTGGAGGGCGGGGAGGAGATGGGGGGAGGAGGGGGGAGGTGGAGGGCTGTGTTTGCTTTCCCCCGAAGAATTCCGACCGCGGGGACCATCGCCCTGCACATCCATCCCCCGCGGGCTGAGCCCGGCGCCCAGGCCGCCCCGCCGCCCGCCCCGGGCACAGCGGTCCCCGCGGCCGCCGGGCAGGAGCCCCCGGAGTTCCAGGGCGCGGGCTCCCCCTCCCCCAGCCCGCCCCGAAGCGGAGGAAGGAGAAGGGGAGGAAGGAGGGGAGGGAGAGGAGGAGAGGGAGGGGGGGAAAAAGCCACACACACACACACACACACACACACACACACACACACACACACACACTCTCTCTCTCACACACAGGAGCCTCTTTTGCAAAGTAATCATCGGCCGACTTACCCCGTCTCCCATCTCCAGGGGCCCCTCAGGGTAGCCACCCTTTCTTTTTTCAATACCCCTTTGGGGGTGTGCTCGGGGTTTCTCCAGCCTAAAAAGGGGGCGAGTGGGCGCCGCTCGGTGCGCTCCGCGCGGCCGGAGGGAAGGCGCCCGCCCGGGCCGCCGCCGCGGAGGCACCGCGGGCTCCGGGCTCCCGAGCGGCGCTCGCGGCCGCGCTCCTCCGCGGAGCCGGGGCGGCCGGGGGGGGGGGGGGGGGAGTGGCGGGGGGGCGATCGCGAGCCGCGGGCAGGGGAGGGGGGAGGGCGGCCGAGGAGGACCGCGGTGGAGGCGCCGCGCGGCAGGGGCGGCGAGCAGGGGCCGGGCGGGGCGGGCGGGAGCCGGGGAGGAGGACGGGGAGGAGGATGGCGAGGAGGAGGAGGAGGGATGGGGGCGCTCGGAGAAGGCTGCCCGGCCCCGCCGACACCTCCAACGTGACGGCCAGCCCCGCGGACCGCTCGCACCCCCCACCCCCCCGGCCCGTTCACACTCACGTTCCCTCGCACCCCGAGACTCCCAATCGCGCCACCACCCCGGGGGGGATCGCGGGGTCCCCCCTCCCCCTCCCCCGCACACCCCGGGGCGGGTACTTACAGTTGCCATCTGCAATCGGGGGGCAACTTTCTTCCAGCCGAGCGGCCGCCGCCGCCCCCTCCGGCTCCTCCGCACGGACCTCCGGGCCAGGGTCCGCGCCGCCGGCCTCCCCGCCCCCCTCGGCTCTCCTCCTCCTCCTCCTCCTCCTCCTCCTCCTCCTCCTCCTCCTCCTCCTCCTCCGGGGCGTCTGTCTTCACCACATGCCCCCCCGGTCAGCGGCGCGCGCTCGGGGACGAGCCGGCGGGCGCGGGGCGCGGGGGTGTGCATGCACCGCCCGCCTTCTTCTTGCAGCGCACGCTGTACATGGCAGTGAGGGGGCGAGGGAAGGTGGCCCCGGCCCTCCGGCGGCTCCCCCGGCGGCTGCGGCTTCCTGCTCTGTCCTCGAGGCCCCCCCTAACCCCCCTACGTAGGCTCCCACCCCCTACCCACCCCCCTCCTGCGTGGAGGCGACCCCCGCGCCGGGATGCCGCCGCCGCTCCCCGCGCGCAGAGCTCTGCAGCCGCCGCCGCCGCCGCCGCGGTCCCCACTTAGTGTTTGTTCGCCTCCCGCATCCTCCTGGCGGCGGTCTCCTCGCTTCCGCTGGGTGCAGAGGGTATTTTGGATATATATATATTTTTCCTATCCCTTTCCCAGATGCAGCAGCACACGATCGACCGTCCTTAGTGGGAACTCTCCATCTCCGACATCCTTTCGGGTGGTCTGGGGGACAGGCACAGTCGTTGTTCTTACGCCTGTGGCGCGTCCCGGCAGCCCGGCGACTCCAAGAAACTCAGGGAAAGTGGCGTCTTCCCTCCCGGGCGCCGGGAGGCGGCGGCGCGGGGAGCATCGCCGCCGGGGTCCGGGGAGGCGTCCGCGCCGGGGCGGGCGCAGGGCCCGTGCCGAGCGCCAGGTTACGGTGGCGCGGCCAGAGCGAGCGGAGCTGCCGCAGACATGGTGGCCCCGGGCGCGCGGCCCTCCGCGGCCGATAGGTGGCAGCCGCGGGCGGAGGAGGACGGCGGCCCTATAGCCAGCCCGGCGCGGGCGGCGCGGCCGGAGCCCCCCGTTTGGATGTCACATTGGCAGGAGGCAGAGCGAGTCTTGGACCATGTGCGTAACGCGCGAACCTGGGGCTGTGCAAGCCTCGGATGGAGAAAGGGAGGAGGGAGGAGAACCCCGACAGCGCCGGGAGGGGTTGGCGGTCAGGACAGCCGGATCCCAGCTCAGTGCAGACCTCCTGCCTTCCCCCGGCCACTTAGAATGATGCAGCCCCTGCTGCTGTCTCCTGTGCACGCTGTCAAGGACCCTGGAAGAGGGAGTGGTTCCTCCTAGCTGCAAACAAGGGAGCTAGATTTTTTTTTTTTTTTAAGAATTACGTTTTATAGGTAGGTGTGGGCGATACAAGGGAATAGCATTAACTACTTTCAGATAAAATAATTTCTGAATCTAGTTGGTGTGTGCTAAAAAAGCTGGAAAAACCCTAAGTCCATGCAGTATCCATAGAAAGCGAGTTTCCGGAAGAGTCACCTGCTAAACTCCACTAGATGCATCCGTACAGTAAGTATTCCCAGCTCTTTCCGTGAAACTAGACGCCACCCTCCCCAAACAGGG